AAAGTGGGTGCAGGGAGACGTCAGACAGTGTAAAATATGACAAAATAATAATTTATAAATTATCAAGGGTTCATGAGGGAGGGGGGAGCGAGGAGGGAAGGGGGGAAATGAGCTGATGCCAGGGGCTTAAGTGGAGAGCAAAGGTTTTGAGAATGATGAGAGCAATGAATGTACGAATGTGCTTTACACAATTGATGTATGTATGGATTGTGATAAGAGTTGTATGAGCCCCTAATAAAATGATTGAGAAGAAGCAGAAGCAGAGGAATGACATAGTTACCATAGTTCCCAGGTAGAAGCAGGAAACCAGGAGGAATGAGCTTTCTCACAGTTGAAGCTTTGGAGCAAATAATCAGATGGTCTTACACAGCGGTGAGCACCTAGACTTGGAGCAGTAGGTGGGGAACCCTTGCAGGGGGTGCTGTAGGGTGGGCTTGGACACCAGGAGGAACATAAGGTGCGATAATTTCTCAGAACCTTCCTATTCCTGAAATTCTCCCCAGCCAACCTCAGACCCGCCATCCCTTAACCAGCACCTCGGTAACTAGTCAGGATCTCTTCAATGAATGCCTACCATGGGAAGACACTAAACTGAGGTTCCCCTCACTCTGAACCCCCTCCACATCTCCCCTAGTCTCCATTTGGCTGGTCCAATTACACCTACTCAGTGTTTTTGATAAATTATAAAAGGGAAACAAGAGGATGCTTGAGTAAGTGGTTGGACAGTCACACAACGGGATACGGTATGACTGCTTGTTGGAAAGAAATTTAATGATGTGGAAAGATGGGTACCACATGCTGTGATGTGAACAAGCCAGTTCCCAATAATGGGATCTCATTTCTTAAGATTCAAAACAAAAATTATGCACAGGAAAAGTAGTAAATAACGTACACAGCCAAATATTCTCTTGAAAATGAGATTGGAGGTATTTTCTCTGTTTTCTAAATTGTACACAGTTTGGACTGTTGCATTTGCATTGGCGTTTACGGAAGTATTTTACCCATTCTACTGTTCATTGAGGCCATTCATGCTTTCCCTATAACTCTGACCTATGCTTACCTCACCTTTCCTGTCTCATTGCTGGTTGTGTTTAACCTAGTATATGGTTACACATGAAGGTTAAGCCAAAAAGTAGCAAAACGTGAAGCTATTGTGTCTCGTGTCTTGACATATCTGCCATCAAGATCTGTCCCCTTCTGAAGGCGGCGTTTCCATCCCTCTCGGCCTTCCTGAAGAATTCTGTGCCCGTCTAGTGACTCCCCATCCAAATGGCTGTGTGGGCATCTCTGAGACTCAGATCGTGTTCCTTTGAAATCTTCTTTGAGTTTCGGGAACAAAAGAAGTCTGAAGGGGTAAGATCAAGTCTGTCGGGCGGATGTGGTAAGGTTCCTCAACAAAATCGCAGTCGGATAGCCCTGGTTCCCCCCAAGAATCAGGAGGTGCCCCGCTGTGGTGGCAAAAAAACTCCCCTGGCACCACCGCCCTGGCCTTTTGCTCAAGGCAATTTCCAACTCTCTTAAAAATTCTTGGCAATAAGCCCAGTGGTCATCCTGCGTCCCTTGAAAAAATCTATCCAGATTATCCCTCCGGAATCCCCACACAGCCGTCCTGACCTTGAACTGACTCCTCCGGCCCTGCAGACGTCCTTGGCTGTTTGGATTGGGCCTTGCTCTCTGGACAGCATTGGTAAACGCAAGACGCATCCCTGATTACATACAATCCCTTCCATCCACCATCTTCATTCGCTTGACCTCGCCTACAGGACTGACTGACGGAAAGATGGGCTCTCTGGGCCCGCTCATCTTCTCAGAAGCGCTTCTGGCACCCAAGTTGGGAGCTTGCTGAGTCTGAGAGGGTCGCCTAACATTGAAAAGGCTACGTGAGTTCCCGTCTCAGTAGCTGTCACCTCCACGGTCACTCTAGCCTCTCCCCCAGCCCCTGCCCTCTGGGCTTCAATCACGGTTGCTTCCTTCCACAAGACGGACATCTTCCCTCGCCTGGCTCATCTTTGAAGTCTTCCTGGCCTCCCTTAAAACACTTGACTCATCTGAAACTCGTTTTATGGGGGCAGCATTCCTAGACACTTGTGGCAGAATGTACATGATTTGGGAAGCGGTCCATTTGAATTTTGTTTACAATTTGATGCTATCCCTGACTTCCAAATCATTTTTGCCCTCCATAGCACCGAAGTGTTTTTCAGGCTCCCCGACGAGGCTAAGTCAAACACAGCCCTGCCTGAAAGAACGTGTCCGCAGCCACCCGCTGCCCACAGCGATGTGTCAGAGCACGTTTTGCTTGGGATGAATATGGGCATGTAGGACCTGGACCCCAATTCGCAAGCATTTGTTACTTGCCCTTTGTCTACAAAATGCCTCGTTCATGTTGGTCTTCTCTCTCAAAGCCAGTGTGCTCTCGCCACGCAGCGTTTACTTCCTGTGCTCTTCTCCACCACATAGCTGTTCTCCATCACATCCGATCGCTTGATGGAGGCTTGATACTCGGTCCTCCTCAAGGGGCCACATCACCTAGACGGGCTTCCAGAAAGGTCCTTGGCTTGGGGATGCCCCCAGACCTTCCTGCGTGGAACCCCACCCACAGACTGCACGACCCTTTCCCGTCATCCTACCCATTTCCTCAAGTGGGTGGGCCACGCTGTCTACGTGCCAAACCTCCGGGGGCTGGAAGCCAAAGCTTTGTATTCTTGTCTCAATATTTATAAGACAGCATCAGCACTAAGGGGCCTTTAGTTACTCTTATTCTTTGGGGAAATTATCTGGCTTTTAGTTCAAAAAATGAAGGTGGGAGGGTGGGGGAAGTAGGTAAAGAGGAGCTTATATCAAGGGCTCAAGCAGAAAATGTCTTGGAAATGATGGCAACATATGTACAAATATGTTTGATACAACTGATGTATGAAATGTTACCAGAGCTGTTAGAGCCTCTAATAAAGTGATGGGAAATCAAAACAAACACCTTTTATTGTCACGGTGCCTACAGGGGGTGTGCATGTACTCAGCCAGTCGAGAGCTCTGTGCGGCTGATGGTGGGGACCAGGTGCCTCTGTCCTCTTGCTTAATCCAGAGTGTGAAGCAGCTACTCTGGGACGCGTTTCCTACCAGCCCCTCCAGCATCCCCTGTGATGACCACCATCATCACCCTCCTCACTCCGTAGGTGGGTCACGCTTAGCTGTCACCTGTGTCCTGTCACTAAACCAGAGGGACAACACGGCTAAACTAGTAAGTCTTAGAACAGGAGACTCAGCTGTTTCGACAGGTTTTGTTTTCAAGGGTGTGCCGACACAGCTCTCCATAGATAGCTGACGGGCTACCTCGGAGAGAAAGACAAGCGGTACACGCTAACCAAATCCTGTTGCTTCCACAACCTTGGGATGCTCCAATGGGCACTTCCCTCCGCCTCCCTCTCCCACCCAGTCTTGCCGGCGTCTCAACAGCCTCCTGCTGGCCTGCCAGCCCGTCCAGTCTTGTCCCTCACCAGGTTTCTTCAGAGAGCCGGAGTGGTGTTTAAATGGTCAATCTGATCCCCCACCCCTCTGCTTACACCCGTTACTACTTCAGCACTGCCTTCAGGAGAAGCTCTAAAACGGCTTAGTTTTGCTTTTGAGACCCAGTCCCTGCTGAGAGCCCTGCAGCTGCTAGCTTCGGCCAGGCTGTTTCGGTTTTCCGGAACACCGTAGTCACTCTTACCTCCAGCCCTTTGTCCTCCTTGCTACACCTAGCTGGCAGCTTACTTGCCTTCAGGAGTCACCTCAGATGATGCCACTCCTTCCCGAAAGCCTACCCCGTCGCCCAAGGCTCCAGTGGGGAGGCTTGTGTGCTGTAAGTCTGACTCATCCTGGCATTTCGCTGGTCATCTTACTGTGTCGCTGCCTCTCGACACGCATTTGTCTCTCCGGACAGTAAGCTTCTGGGAGCCTGGGATTGTCTTCTCAACAGGTGGTCCCTGGATGGGTGAGGAGCAGTGGCAGAAGACATTTTAACCAGGACAGACAGATGGTTACACGGGCGGATTCCATGCCGCGCACAACTGCAGAGCTCGCGGTGCTGGAAAATGGCGCAGATTGACCCGCAAATTGAACACAATTGAAGGCGAGGGTCTCCCTGAGTCCCCAAGCAGAACCTCAGTGGTGCTTGGGCGGGGGCTCCTTTAATACCTGCCATCTGCTCACTTCCTGTCTGCACCATTAGATTGACTTCTTGGGGCCAAAGGATCTGCATTGGGCAAAGGTCATTAGAGTAAGTAGAGGTGGGTGCGAGGGAAGGAGGGGAAAGAGGACCCTCCTGCTTCGGGGGGACACGGAGCTTCTGCTGAGGGTGATGGAGAAATCTGGAGACGGTGGTCATAGCTGAACAGCATCAGCAACTCACGTCACGGGAAATGTCACGTGACGAATGTAGAAAAGGCCGGTCACTTGTCACCACCCCGACAGGACTGTAGGCAAGTCACAGCCGCTCTGACCTTCCTTGCCTGTAAGTGGACATTGCGATGCAGACTGCAGGGTGAGCCAAGGAAGGTCAGACGCCGGACTCGGCCTTACAGTCCCATGACAGACGCTGTTGTGGTGCACTATAGGTTCCTCGGGGCTGACAGCGCCTTGGGGGAACGTTAGTGCCGCAACTGCGTTAGAAAACGGAGTGTCCCTAGTGGGGCCGTTTACCGTGCAGGCTGAGCTAAGGAAGACCAGAAAGATCTTGGGGCCTCGCCTGCTGTGCGACTGCTCCCCAGGGAAGAGGCAGGATCAGGGGCTCCTGAGCCCTGGCTCAGTGAGGACCTGCCAAAAGGCCCACTGTTCTGCCCTCAGGGAGAGTGTGCGGAACCTCCCGCTAAAACATGGGGCGGCAGAGCCTTACGCCCACCATCAATAGCGGCCAGTCAAAAACTAGACTTCATAAATTCCCCCTTGGGTCCTTGAGGAGAGCAGAATCGGGGACAGCTGACAGCCATGTCGAATCACCTTTGGCAAGACAAACCCAGGAAGATCACTTAATTTAAAGGCTTTTTATTAGGAACCAGGGGGCTGCACTGCGGACCCCTCTGTAACCGTCCAGAGCAGGTCGCCAGCCCAGGATGGAGAGGCTGTCGAAGGGGCTGCGGGTGTGCTCGGCTGCACTTGCTTCTGGCCTGGAAGGAAAGTGGTGGCCTCGGAGGGTGGTGGGGCCTGGTGGGAAGCGAAAGCCCGAGCCCGAGGACCCTCTACCTTTCTGCCCCGTGGAGCATGCCAAGAGGCAGAGAAGGGCCTGGAGTGGCACAGCCGTATTGCCCGAACCCCTGGCTGCACTCGGCTCCATGTCACTTGCCTGCCCTCCACTCTTCCTGCCGTTTCGTGATTAGGTATTTGAAGAACTCGTACACCGACCACGCGATGGCCGTGGAGGGGATCTGGTAAATGACTCTGGCTTGCACCCCTCGGAAGTAGGCGGTCACTCCGCCTACTCGATACACCGTCCTGAAGGCGCTAGCCATGCCTGTGATGTGTCCTGTGATGTTTGAGTTCAAAGCCAGGGATTCCTGCGTGTTGAGCAGGGTCTTGCAAACGTCCAGCGGGGTGGTGGCAGCGGCGGCGACGGCCCCTGCACAGGCTCCGGAGAGGACGTGGGAGCTGGGGTTGTACCGTCTCTGGGGATTAAAGTGCTCCTGCAGGAATTCATAGGTCATGAAGTGAATGGCTTGGAAGGGAACGTTCATGGTCAGCTGGGTGGTGTAGCTGCGGTAAAAGGCTCCGGCCCCTTCGTTCTGCCACACTGCCCGTACACAGTCTGTCACCCGGTGGTACGGCGAGTTGTACATCTGCATCCTCTGCTTGACCACTGGTGGCACCGATGACGAGGAGGAAGGACGGCCCAGCAGAGGTAACCCATCCGTGACAATGTTCAGAGTCATGGTCCCCGGCCAGCAGACCAGCCAATAGGGGAGAGAAAACACAAAAGAAACACAAGTGACCAGTGGTGTGAGTGGCAATACTGGGAGGGTAAAGGGAGAGTGGGTTGGAAAGCAGGAACCGATTACCAGGAACTATATGTGACCTCCTCCCTGGGGGACAGACAACAGAAAAGTGGGTCAAGGGAGATGTCGGACAGAGCAAGATATGACAAAATAATAATTTATAAATTATCAAGGGCTCATGAGGGAAGGAGGAGTGGAGAGGGAGGGGAAAAATGAGGACCTAATGCCGGGGGCTTAAGTGGAGAGGAAATGTTTTGAGAATGATGAGGGCAATGAATGTACAAATGAGCTTTATACAACTGATGTGTGTATGGATTGTGATAAGAGTTGTATGAGGCCCTAATAAAATAATTAGGGGGGAAAAAGGGCACCACGTGGAAAGCCCTGCCCTGAGCACATGGTAAAAAAAAAAAAGAAAGAAACATGAGTGAGCTGCTAGTCAATCTGATGAGTTGAGGTTTCCCCTTTTGAAGGGTGTGTATGTGTGTGTGTCTTTTGGTAAAGAGACAAAAATAAGGGTCCCATTTCCTTATGCCCTTACTGACACCACCAAGTCAATTCCAACTCACGGCGACCTTATAGGGCAGAATCGAACTGCTCCTGGGGGTTTCTGAAGCAGCCGGCTTCATCTCTCCTGACCGTGGGCTCAGCAGCCTAACTGGTAACCTGCCGTGCCACCCCGAGGGCTGCTGCGGACCTCTTTGAAAGCTGCCAGTTACCAGAGAAGATAGCTCTGGCTTAGATCCCAGTGTCCCTTGGAATAAGGGCCTATTCTTCCTCCACACCAAAACAAACAGCCCCTTACTGGCAATCAACATACTAGCATGCACCTAGTCTACCCCAACTCTGCAGACGGAAGGATGGGGCTGGCTGCCCTCCCGCGCTCCACAGAAAGGAGATGTGCTTCCACAATGAGGGCCAGCTTCCCAGCACACACGTCGCCCACTCCCTCGAGTCACTAGCATGGGCCCAGAGCTCAGCTCTGGTCCTTGCTACCCATGGCCTTGTCCCGGCGAGTGACAAATGGGTGAGAGGGACCGGGCAGCCATGCGGTGCTCCCTGTGCTTGCGGGTCTGTTTGGGTGCCAACGCCTCCAGACGCCGCTCACTGAGAGCTAAGGGCCCAGCAGAAATACGGGCACAGAATCCATTCTCCTTTCAACCCGATCTCACCTTATGTTTAAAAAAAAAAAAAAGCCCTCTTCGATAATCCAGCTCCACTTCTTTGAAGAAATGAAACTAACCCTGCAGAACTTTCGGGAGACATCGAGTCCACGATAAAGGGGACTTCCAAGACTGCCCCGCTCTTTTGCCAGGAAAGCCCCAAGGATGATCAAATCCCAACTAGGAGCCTTCCCCGGCCCCATGGACTCCTTCCTCGGAAGGGCTGAGTGCATGGAGAGGCTGCCATCTGGTGGGCAGATACGGTAACGCGGCCGCATGGCTGCACCGCACAAGGACAGGAAACGCAAATGCAGTCGCTCCCGCCGGGAAAGGTTGAGGAATCCTTACCTTCCGCTGGATTCATAGCTGCATCGTGAAGTAACGTTGCCACACACCCAGCTGCACCTGCAGATGAGAAAAGAACTGCCACATGTGAGGCCGGGACGCTAACCCAGAGCGGTGGGGGCCTATCTGGAGCCAGCTCGCACCAGGGGAAAGCACAGCTCCGGGAAACGCACACAGGTGCGCGCTCCCGCCAACTTGCTGAGATCACCCTGTCTGTGGTAGGAAGGCCGGGAAGGGTCCAAAAGGTGTGTATCTATCCCAGATTGCAGCGATGGAGATAGCCTTGTGAACAAGGGCACTTCACGGCCCGGAGCAGAAGCAGATGCATAGCTCCGTCACCACACTAACCCACTAATTGCTCCCGGCGGGCATGGGTGAACGTGAGGGTCAGGTGGTCAGCCCACCACCAAAGACTCTCACCTCCCATCTGCTGGCCCGACACCACCCAACCCTGCTCCATGTCCTAAGCCAGACCAACAGCATTTCCCAAAGTGGGGGGACTGGAACCAAGGGGGTTTAGGTGCGAGGTTGCAAATGCAGATTCCTACACCTTATCCTGGTATGGACTATGGAACCAAAGGTTTCAATTGCCAGGGGGTGGTATGGGAACCTGTGCCCTAGACTTTTCCTGTAGCAGCTGAATGACTTTATCCCTGCAGCCGACCTGGCTTCTGAAAGAGCCTGGAAGCCCAGGGCTGCCGCTCTCTCTGCCCTTCCTTCCACACCGACTCCATTCCTGGGGCATCTCTGTACAGAAGTCTTTTGGTCCCCACCCGCCTTCTCGTGTCCCAGCGACACAAACTGCCTCTGGTTCAGCTGGGATCCTGCGACGGTGAGGCGAAGAGCTGGGGCTCCAGGAGTGTCTTCCTTGGGGGCTCAGGTGCTGCCCTGGGGAGTCTACAGCCAGGGTGGTTCAGCACGTCTCCGCATGGCCAGTGCATTCGAGAGATGAGAGCAGAGATGGGCTAGGAGGTAGGGGAGGCTACAGTAACCCTGGGTTGGGGTGCCCTCCAAGTGGGGTGTGGGGTTGAAGCAGCCCACTGACTGAGGACATCAGGTTAGGGGGCCCTGCCCTAAGATCTGGCCTGACCCCCAGCCCAAAGCTTCAGATCCAAACCCTGCTCGCTGGGCCGGGAAAGCACTGACAGCCGCCGAAGCTCAGAGAGGTGGGAAAGTGGGAGAACCGGCGCAGGAAGGCTCAATACCATTGGCAATATGGCTATTGCCCCCAGGGTGGATTACATCACTCAATGTCTTTTTTAACTTTTCGTAGCAGGCAAAATAGAGGGCGTGGGCCGGCCCTGCGCCCGTTGCTGTGACATTCAGCCCCCGCATGGGCCTCCACAGGCCCTCGGTTCTCATAATCCTCCAGAGGGCCTCCAACACATTGCGATAGCGAGCGGCTGGGTCGGGCTGTAGGCTCTGCATCCGGGTCTGAAATTACAGCAAGAAGAAGAACATCAGTGAGGCTAATTTCTCGCCCAACCTTAACACTTAGGACTTGGAACCTGGCAGACCTAACACCTGGAACCATGCCTGGCACGCAGCCTTAACCAGAAACCAACCTCAACCAGACGACCGGGTAGAATTGCCCCTCTGGGTTTCCAAGGCTGTTAGAAAGCCTCATCTTTCTCCCAGAGTAGCTGGCGGTTTTGAAGTGCTGACCTTGAGGAGAGCAGCCACTATATGCTACCAGGGTTCCTACGTCCATCTTGAGTTCTTCCCAAGCCTGTATCCAACCTTTCTAAGCCTTGGGTCTTTGTTTTTCTTGTCCTTTTCCCCAGCTCTCTCCCCTCTCCCCCATTTAAACAAGAATCCCATCACTCCCCTGAGGACATCCATAGTCCCAGCAGCCAACATCAAGCATGTGTTTCAGAGGTTGCTCAGTCCTTCGATCGACTCAGGCTGAGGTTCTTTACAAATGGATTCTACGTTCAAAAGAGCTATGGGTTGTCTACAGCCTACTCTGCATCATTTCTGGTGACCAGTCCTAGGCCTGCCTCCTGACCACACACCGTGTTCATCCTTTGGCCTTGGAGGCCGGGTCTGCAAGTGGGACTCTTGACCGGAGTCGTCACCTGGCTCCTGCTCTCCTGTCCTGGGAATGAACAGCTCCCCCTGCGGCTAGGCAAGTGGGAGTGTCCTTCTGGAAGCCAACCTGCTCACTGAAACCGAAGGGAGTTCCAGACCTTGACATCGTAGCTCACCACACTTTAAAACTGGTGTCAGCAACTAAGAAACCAAGTCTCAATAAACATAACCCTTGGGGTCTGGAGGGTTCAATGATTTGAGCAGAAATGTCTGGCAGATATACGATATGACATTTCTAAACAACGTTCTTTTGAAATGTGGGGAAATAAAAGACCTCTGCCTATTGATCCACCTTGAGATTAAAGGAGCACAATGGATAACTTAAGTTCAATGTCCAGCGTCTCACACGGGGTTCATTCTGTCCCCGAAACAATGCTGACACATCTCGATTCCGTAGGGCATGCGAGAACTGCCCGTGTGTTTCACAGGCTGGAAACCTTGATGGGAGTAGACAGCCTCATCTTTCTCCCGCAGAGAGGCTGGTGGGCTCCAACCACTGACCTTGCGTTAGCAGCCCATCATGCACTCCACTACGCCACCAGGGCTCCTCCCGGACTATAAACGCCAAACCAAACCATTTAATCAAGGCTGACCTAGTGACCCTGTAGAGCAGAGAACTGCCCCTGTGAGTTTCTGAGACTGCACCTTGTAGTTGTTGTTGTTTAAGGAGACTGTAACTCTTTAGAGCAGCAGAAAGCCCCAACTTTCTCCCATGGAGGGGCTGGTGGTTTTGAACTGCTGACCTTGAGGTTACTCGCCCACTACCATCGAGTCAATGCTGACTCATCGTGACTCCCCTGTGGGTTTCCCAGACTCTTAACTGTTGACACGAGTAGAAAATGCCCATTCTTTTTACCACGGAGCTGCTGGTGGTTTTGAACTGCCAACCACGCCAGATCGCTGCCCAACCGGAACCACTACACCAGCAGGGGCCCGTAGGCACTAGAAATATGCATGCTGAATCTTTCTGTGACAGGGCTGTCTGCAGCAGTTTAGAGCAGCGGTTCTCCACCTTCCTCAGGCCGAGCCCCCTTCATACAGTTCATCATGTTGTCGTGACCCCCAACCATAAAACTATTTTGGTTGCCACTTCCTAACTGTAATTTTGCTACTGTTTTGACCCAAAGGGGTAGAGACCCCCAGGTAGAGAACTGCTGGTGTAGCTGGTAGGGCCGTGAGAGAGGGAAGAGGGACAATGGATTATCTGACCACAGTTTAAAGTCCTGCTTCATGCTAGTCGTTGGATTCAGCCTGGATTTTGAAATTTGCATCTTCCTGGTGGCCAAGTGGAAATCCAAGAGTAATACTCTTCACAAGCGCATGGGAGAAAAGAAACTAACCAGACGGACAGGTCTGGGTTCGCGGTAAGCGAGCCACATTCCTCCCGAATTTGTTCCTCCAGCTAGCAACAAGGACCTGAAAACTCAGCAGGTGACGCACCGCAGGTACAGTTCCATGAGAAATGTACAGGGTCACTGACAGCATGGATCGACGTTGAACACCCCACTCCCCTAGGGGGACGAACAACAGAAACGTGACTGAAGGGAGACTGGGGACGGTATAAGATATGGAAATAACAATAAATTATAACCTATCAAGGGTTCCCCAGAGTGGGAGGAGAGAAAGAGGAGCTGACAGCAAGGCCTCAAGTAGAAAGAAGAAGTTTTGAAAATGATGATGACAACATATGGACACAATAGATTTATGGATGGTGATAAGAGCTGTAAGAGCCCCCAATAAAATGATTTCTTAAAAAAAGGAAGAAATGTGCCACACAGTCTGATATATTCTTGTTCATTTCTCAAACCAACTAGCCGACCCCCTGGATTTCCAATAGAATGCCCTTCCTTATCTCCCACATTTCCCTCCCCTCCTCACTGCCAGGGGGAGGAAGGGGTTGTCAGATAAAACCCCATCAGAGGGGTTGTGTGAAGAGACTATTGGGCTATGCTGGGGCTGAATGGGTTACTGACGGGGTTCTTCCATAGATTTAGTGGAAACGACGTGGGGAAACCTGTTCAGAACTTGCAGTGCTCTGCTGAGCCAACAGCAAACTGGGGTAGGCAGTCTTAGAAGGTCTGGCCCTGGGGGCCTGGAGCCCTCCACCCCCAGGAGAAAACTAGGTGTGGGTTAAATTACCGTGAGCATTTTCCCAAGCTACCTCCAAGTACCAACAACTCCCATTCAATGAAAATAGGTGGTGATGGTGAGACACTGGAAACAAGCGATGTCAAAAAAAAAAAAAGCTCACCTCAGCCCCAAATTTGTGAGCCAGTAAATCTACCTTTTGCAGAAGGATGAACTCACCAAGTAAGAATGAATGCCTGAACAACCTTAAGGGTTCCGTGTAAGCCGCGCCCTGGCTTTGGAGAAAAGCCAAACGGACTGGTTAAGAGGTACGGGTTTGGTAAAAGACAAGCCCTGTTTGGGGAAGCACGCTTGAGGGGGAGCCCCAGCTTTCACTGAACATGTGGCCTTAGGTATGCCGCTTAACCGCGCCGTGGCTCAGTGCTGTCATCTGCTAATACATGGCTTTGTGTTGTACTAGCATCTGATTCTCTGAGCTCTTAGTTCATGCGTAGGCTTCACCGAACATGACAGCAATGGCCCTTATAGAAGCCAGGTCACACACACATCCATGGCCCTAAACACTAACAAATGAGGTTTCATTACCGATGGTGACACCCAAGAGGGCTGGAACTCGATAGGACTGGCCTTGCTTTTCCGGGTCTTGCAGGTTTCCTGCCTTTAAACAGTGTGGCCGCTTTTTATGGCAAGTAGCAGGAAATTTCTGCATGTTTCTTCTCGGGGTTCTGCCGTACACAGGGTCCAGCTTTTGTGTAATTTTTACTTTCATGTTAAATTTTTTTCGGTGGCAATAAGGGCTTTGTTGAACCAAAGGGCACGTGTTCAAGCACCATTAAGAAATTGTGTGCCTTGCTTGGCTCTTGCTGTCTGCAAGACCATCTGGGACACTTGGGAGTCATACCAATCAGGCTCCTATCATGCCTGTCACTTGAATTATGTGACCCTGGGAAATACTTAATTGCTCTTGAGTTTTTCTAATCATTAAATGAAAATGCACCCAAGAACAATGGCTGCTTACTGAATATTATTCCATATTCAAACTCACTGCCATTGGGTCAACTCTTTCTTTTATGAGTCAATTCTGACTCATAGCGGCCCTATAAGATCGGGCAGAACTGCCCCTGTGGGTTTCCAAGACTGTAATGCTTTATGGGAGTAGAAAGCCTCATCATTCTCCTGCAGAGCAGCTGGTGGGTTTGAACTGCTGATTCTGTGGTGAGCAGCCCACTGCATAGCCCACCACGTGACCAGGGCTCCCATGGATATTATTATTAGCTGCAAGAAACGCAAATGCAATGTTTCCATTATCTAACTTTCACTGGAGTATGGATAACCATTTAGACGTGGGGTCTGAAAAAAAAACACAAAAAACTATTACCCTGTTTGTTCCCTCTTTAACTTAGGACAAAAACAGGCTACATGGCTACAAACCAACACCGTGGACAGGCAAGAACCTCGGTGGCGCAGTGGCCAAAAAGGCAGCAGTTGGTGCCCACCGGCCCCCTTGACTAGAGAAAGATGCGGCAGTCTGCTTCAGTAGAGATGATTCCCGTGGAAACCCAA